GCATGCCTGAGGCCCTGGGTTCGATTCCTCAGCACCACATAAGCAAAAAGAAAAAAGCTGGAAGTGGTGCTGTGGCTCAAGTGGTAGAGTCTTAGCCTTGAGCTGAAGAGATGAGGGGCAGCGCGCAGGCCCAGAGTTCAGGCCCCACGACCAGACCCCCCCAAAAAAGAGTCTCACAGACTTTCCCGGCCCAGGCTGGCTTTGAACCTCTGTCCTCAGATCTCAGCCCCCTGAGTAGCTAGGATTACAGGCGCGAGCCACCATGCCTGGCCCCAAAGTGATGTTTTAAGCTAAAGCATTCATGATGTGCTCACCTCTTGTTGGAAATGACTCTCTGTGTCTGCCTGTTTGTCTGTCTGTCTTTCTGTCTTTCTCTCACACAAACACACTACTGGCCTCAAATAGCTCACTCCATAGCATTTCAGGAAATTATAATTTAATTGGGGTTTAATGTAATTTTAGATAGTAATCTAAAGTGACAATTTGTGCCAAGTGCTGTTGTGAAGGCATGCACAGGACACGAAGAATAAGGTGCCCCTGCTGGGGCAGTAACTTAGTGAAGGCTGGAGGAAAAGTAATCTGTGATGGTGTCTCAGGAACAGCACCAGTGGTAGGGTAGGAGCTTGGGAGTTTGCCTGCAAGAATGGAGGCACCAGATCTTGAGGGCTGTTAGAAAGCTTAGGAGTTTGAACTTTCTTTGTATGTCTGGAAGAAGCCTCTGTAAGATAGGAATGGCTTAGGAAGATGACTAGAAGGATGTAGACAGTGGATTACAGGAAGGTGGCTGTGGACTGGAAGACCCATTGGCAGTCTGTGACTAAGCAGGAGGTAGCCAGTGGAGTCCCACCAACTGTGGCCATGACTGTGGGAATGGAAGAGACAGATACAAGATTATTGAGGACTCCAAATAATTCTGTTCTCTGATGATCTGATGTGAAAGAGAAAAGGTGACTTCTCAGTATCTAGCTTGGAACAAGGATGGATTGAAATTGGTTAAACATTCTAGACATTGGGCAGGTGTTTTGCTTTGGATCATTGAAAAAATGAACCAGCCTGAAGAACCCTATTCTGGCCTTTTTTTGCGGGGGAGGAGGGTGTGGGGCTTAAACTCTGGACCTGGGCTCTGTCATTGAGCTCTTCAGCTCAAGGCTAGCACTCTACCACATGAACCACAGCTCCACTTCTGGTTTTGTGAGTGGTTTAATGGAGATAAGAGTCTCACAGACTTTCCTTCCTGGGCTGGCTTCCAACTGTGATCCTCATATTTCAGCCTCCTGAGTAGCTAGGATTACAGGCGTGAGCCACCTGAGCTGGGCTCTATTCTGGCCTTTCTGTTCTGCCATCTTCATACCTTTAACCTTTTCTGTCCTTGTGATAGGCTTAGGCCTTTCCCTAGCATAATAGATACTCCCTACTCCCCACTTGACAATTGGAAATAATCTTGCTCAAGCCTGGAAGAGTGTGAGTGTAGTATCCCAGGTCCCCTTCACTTCTTTCATTCATTTTATTTATTATTATTATTATTTGGGTCTGGTCGTGGGGCCTGACTCTGGGCCTGGGTACTGTCCCTCAGCTCTTCAGCTCAAGGCTAATGCTCTACTACTTGAGCCACAGTGCCACTTCTGGCTTTTTTCTTTTTGCTTATGTGGTGCTGAGGCATCGAAC